ATTTTCTTTGTATAACCTTGGATTAAATATCCCACAATTCTAAAAATACCGTTACGTATCTAAGGCGCCAGAAATCAAGTGGGTATAATAAATAAAAATCACCTGATAAATGACACATTATCTTTGTATAAATCTCCCACAATTCTAAAAATACCGTTATGAATGATATAAAAATCCGTTCAATTCATACCTAAGACAATCATCGATCTTGATTTTTGCGTTGGTTGTTATATTATACTAATGACCTATGCTTATCATATCGAAAGAATAAGATGTAACTTTTAGTAAGTCATTTAAATAAACCAAATGATGAACAAAAAGTTACTAACATCAAGTAAATGATTAATTCATACGTATAAGACCACACACATGCTTAAATCTTACATGTAATTATGTATGAATGATACTTGATGAACCTTTTTTTACAATATTAGCGTTATTAAAAGGGGGGGGGGTTTGTCTCAAAATGAAATGAATAATTTAATGATAAAAGGAGGTTCAAACTAAAATGACTGATAAATTCAAGCTAGTTTTAAATGTTCCTAAAACTTACGAGCAGTTTGTTTTAGATAATCAGTATGAGCAAAATCAGGATGTCGCGGATAGTTATGCAGCTGAGTTTGGTGCTTATGGTGATGTAAGCGTTCAAAAGGGATATGGTCCTTGACGCGCATGTTTATCCTTAATATTTATTTTTCGCGTATTCAAATACCTGTTTTAAAGAACTTCTTCTATCGAGTGACAAATCCTGGATGTCAATTGTCAGCTATTTGAGAGTTTTTATTCGAGAAATAACCAAATCTTCTGGACGCTTCAATTAAATGGGCAAGAGGTGAACCATTAAATCATGAACAGCCAAGCTTACAAGATTTTTCCCATACAAGAGGTTTATCTGAAGGACGAAAGAACTCTAACGATAAATAATTCTTTATTGTTGGTATTGCATGGTGGAAAATCGAGCTTCTTGCAATTAAACGAGGAACTGTTCTTCATAATCAGGTAATTTAACTTTAGATATGTATTTAATAGTTTAAATCTATCGAGTCTATGTTCTAATTTGCTACCGTAAACCCCTCCCCCCCCCCCCCTTTGGAGAAAATCTAAACCTTAATTTAGTCCGATTTCTTTAATAAGTTTCTACAAAATGAAATTTTTTGTACTAATTACCTTGAGGCTAAATTAAGATTTAAATTTTCTCCAAAGGGGGGGGGGGGGTTTTCATGGTGTTTTACGGTAATTTAAAACTTAAATATATTAATTACAGATGGACTTCACTCAACAAAAAATGTCAGACGTGTCCTAACTGGCAAGAAAAAAATAATGCTTGAATATCTTATTTATAAAAAGTAACTCGCTTCTGTCTTAAAGAATGTCAGGACATCGGGTAGACCTCTCTCTGAATTAAAAATGCAGTGTAAGACTTGTGGGTATTCACGCAAGCAATTAAAGGAACAATATAAAATCAACTCATTTCTTATAAATATACGCGATTGACATAATTTAAATGTCGTAATTTGGGTTTTTTAAATTATTTGCAAGAAATTACATTCAAAGCTTTATGAAATTACCCCCTACATCATTATTTTTTCGTGGGCGTTGCTTAAATTCGAGAGTTTTAACTATGCATCCTGATCGTTACGTACTTCCATTCTTAAAGACCCCCCCCCACACAAAAAATCGGTCAAAAAATAATGATGTAGGAGGTTGCTTAAATTCGGGCGTTTACGGTATACGCTTTTGCGAAAAACAGCAATATTTACAAGTGAGTGAGGCGCTTGAAGTGCACACTCGACATCAAATAGCTTATTTTTTTATAGCAAACTCGTGTCAAGATAATATGAGATGACTTAGCCGAAATAGTAGTGTGACTTTGACTGACTATGCAACCGAAGGTCACGCCTGCAAACCAAAAGTCGCTACTAAGATATGCAAACCGAAGATTCCGTTATGGCGAAGCACATTCAACTAACGAGTACATCAAATCTTTTCAAGTATTCCTCGACAACGCATAAAATAAAAATGCAATAACCGAGATTTTATCAACATCTTTGGCTTCCGCTCTAAACATCAAAGAAAACGATAAATTTAAATATTTAAAACCCCACGTGGGATTATCGACGAATACTATCTTCTGAAATGAAGAATAACAACAATAATCAAGACATAAGTCAAAAAATAGCATGTCCATAGGTGAATTACTTGTTTATTGATTTTTTCACCAACATGAATTAGCATTGACCAATGAGCCAAGAGTTATATACCAAAAACATAGGCTTTCAACCCTTCTTTATCAAATATTCGATTGGCACCTGCAAACGGAGATGCTCAAATACAAAAAATGGCATAGGAATTCTAACAGATAGGGAAAAAAAGCATTTGAGTGGTACCGTAATTTCCAACCCTCTCTGTAGAAAACTTAAACCACAAGGCTATTAATTTAGGGATTAAAATTTTAAGACATTGCATTGTGAATCTTAATTTATTTATTTTGCAGAAAAATAATTGGTTTTACTAAAAATTGAACCAAATCAAGGTTTAGATTTCTATAGAGAGGGGTGGTTTATGCGGCAAATTATGGTATTTAAAATCGGCCGAGGACGGAGATGCGGATGGACAACGTCAATTAAGTCACCGTTATTATTTTGTCATGGAACTGTAAAAGATGCAAATAAAGCATTTACATATTTTCAAAAATCTGTTGCATCTGGATCGAGGTGAAAAGCACATGATTAAAGGGTAGATAAAAAAGCCGTTTGTAATTTTTTTTACATTCATTAATTCTTATTTGTATTTTATAATTAAGAGATTTGACGTCATTTAGCATTAATTAGAGAAATTCAATGAGAAACCCTTTTAAAACATAAATTAAAAATTAAAATACGTAGTGGCTCTTTTGCAATTTCATTGGTTTGTGTGAAATAATAAACGTGTATTAACATAATATGTATCATTAAAAAAGTCTATCGCCCATCACCAGATACATATTCGATATTTCCTAATGCTATCTTGAGCGATAATATTTACTGCGACGGTATTCTATTGGCCATATTGATAATTTTCAATCCATTACATGTATATATGAAATTAAATACATACATGTAGTTAATTCCGTTAGACCGAAGCACTATGTAATTAAACCTGCATAACGAATTTGATTCCAGGAATGGTTATCATAAACCCGCCTCGATAAACTCATTAATTTGTCATGATTATTATGCTCACATAACGATAACATAATTAATGTGGCAGATTAACATGAAATAATCAGTGACGAAATTTAATATTGATATACTCTGAATTGTCACCAAACAAGATCCAAATTATATAACCCTTTTTTATCATTATTGTCCAAAAAGAACACCGAATTTCATTTCACTCTAATTTCGTTTTACGTAATTAACTAGGTTATTTTCATTGTGGTTTAATTAGCAATTGATATTCTGTTTCAATTCTGGTATTATTAAATTTTCTTGCTTTAAACAAAAAATTATAAATATTTATACACACCCCTACAACAAATCACCAGTAAGAATTCAATAGTAAACCAAAGTGAAAATTGAATTATTTCTCCACAGAAATGTTTTATTTCAATACAAAAGTAAAAAATTCAATTTTCACCATTAAATTTTTGGGTTACTGGTAATTTATAATCAAGTAATGATCAATATGCTATTGAATTCCTAACAAACCATCATTAGCTTAGTAAAAAATTGGAATTTAAAAGTCTCGTATACTTTGACATCTATTGAGATTAATAAAAAAAATATTCAAAGTCAAAAAGCTTATAAATTTCACCCAAAATAATCATACATGACATTAAGAATTAATAAAAATCGTCAAGTTAACAAACGTAACGGTAAGGCTCATAAAATAATAGAAACTTAAAAAAAAATAAAATATACGCAAAACTTCGATTTCAACTTAATCAAATACGGAATTCATTTTATGAGAATTTAATATGTGACAGCTTATCTCGTGTAAGATAATAAATAATCTATAATCTCTTAACAAAGACATTTTGCTATATAGTCAGGGAATTTTTCGGATGCAAAACAAATGATAAATGTTTTTACTACATAATCTCAATTCAAAGATTAGCATATCACATCCTACCGCTACATTAAAATGATAAACAGGCTTTTGTGTCGTTAACTGAACTTTAATAACAAAAAATACGGTTCTGGTAATCTTCTGTCTCACTACTAATTAAAAATTTAAAATTCTCGATAAAATACTAATTAAAAGATAACACACATTATATTTTGTCAAACCTGTCAAGATCAAGATTTTTTTAATACGTACCGTATCTTTTTACATCTTGGCAATTTGTTGATTTACCAGTACAGAATCAGTAAATAGTGGGTGATGTGGTGGTTCAAAAATGCAACATTATATTGGATATTTAGACTTAATACATACATACAAAATTTATTGTAAAAATAAAAATACTAACTTCACAGGATGGAATTTAACTTCAGAGTCTAGACACCAATCATATAAGCAGAAATCAAGAAAAAAGTGGTCAAATAAATTTTTTAACATGAACTGAAAATTCAACTTTTTTCTCGTAATGACATAAAGTTCATACATAAGAACCCAAAAAGAGAAAATGAAAAAGCTTACAAGCGAAAAATCAACCGCTGGCACAAATCGCTTTGTGTCGGTAAAACACACAAATTCCATATAAAGATTAATAAATAGATAATAGAAAATAGTAAAAAGCAATTAATTACAATTACATATACCAAATAAGCATCATGTATCCTGTTTAAAATACATAGAAGCAATGTAAATTAACAAGTTGCGTTTCGCATAGAATAATAAAATTCTAGTATATCGTCCAAAATATCTGACCAGCTGAAAGCATATATCGTAAGAAGATATATTTGCTTGTGATAACATGATAACAGATTATGCATTTCTCGCCAAATTCATTTGCAGTAATGATGCATGGATTTCCAGCGATCAAATAGCATCAGCTGGTGGCTTAACGAAGTATTCAAATTAGTAAGTCAAAATCGATTTCATGATATTTCGTAAAGATTATCAAAATGGTCTATATTTAATATATGTATAATCGATCTCGTAAAAAGCATCTGAAAAAATTATTACAAATATTTTATGTATAGATGTATAGTCTACATCAATAAGATCATAACGAAAATATATTTGAATCTATATCATGTTATCTAGTTTTACAAAAAACACAAGGATATGCCGAATCTGTTTCAATGTAAATTTAACCTTTTTGGAATATAAAATATTGTTTATGCAAAATGCGCTTTACATATTTATTGAATCACCATCGTTATCAGTTATGCATCATAAATAATGCTATCGCTTATTACAAAAAAGGAAATATGCGTGATAAAAAGTTGAAATCACCAATTTTAGGGCTTTTATTTATTGGCATCATCACAATCACAACAGAAAGTTTGTGTCAAATTACATGACTCCCTGTCATTGATCTTTTACTCGCTTTACATTATACAGAAAGTAGTTTGTGTCGTCAATTCACTACCAACTACATGCCCAGCATTTCTCCAAACCATCCATCAACGCTTGCACTCTCAATCACCTCATATTTACATCACGAAATTATAAATATGCATGCATTAAAAAATTTGTCTTACGTGTAGTGCGTATCATTAAGTAATTTCTTCTGTACAATATGTAAAAGGATCAAAAGCTTCCATTTTGGTCTAGTTTGCTGTTATCGCAAATGCAACCTTACTCATCTTTGTGCATAAACTCGGAGTGATCTTAATGATCTTACTCATCCTTGTGCATAAACTCGGAATGGTTTCGATCACACATAATATTCTTTTGCATTACGTACATTTGTACATTATTCTTTTTACATGTAAATGGATAAGAAAACTACGTACGTAATGAGATGTTAACAATATAAAATTTGAAATTTTCGGTAATCCTTTATATGATTGAGCAACAAAGAATTAAATTATTTTACGGAAACAACAGCAAAAAAGGACAAACAGTTAGCACGAATTGACAAATGAATTTTATCTTGCGTCATTCGTGATATCATTTTAATAAATCTGTGATACGATGTCATGCAAAGTTCTTTTAATATTTTTTTTTTGGATTGTAACAACAATAAAAATCATGTCCAAAATAATGCCTTTGTTGAAGTGCAAAAAGGTCATATTTACGACTAAGATTGTATGCAATCTGTGAGCAATGGGAAGAACTACACGAACAATACGTGATGGCAGAAAGAATAATCAAATATTTGCAATCAGAAATTTGGCAGAAAGTGAAATTGGTTATACTCTGATGACGCAGCAGCCAAGGAGAAAGATGTGATGCAACGCAAACTGAAGTTTTCATAGTAACAATCGTATTAATTACTTTATTTTTTCTTCTTTGGTCAGAATCAATTGGTTTATATTGTACGTTGATATTCAGAGACATTTGACCTTTTTGTCTTAGCATGATAGTGCGTAATATGCTATGGCCAATTTTTTTACCTATAATATTGTTGATTTATGTTGTCTATATCTATTTCCATTGTTAAAAAAAAAATAAAACGTGGCAATTTTATTGTTTTCGCTTCAAAAACGTAATGGACAATATTGTGTAGGTAGGATGACGCTAGCGTGGCGAAAATAATAAATAAATAAATGATACATTGTGCTAAATCTGGTATCCATTGTCAAAACAATCAATAAATTTCGAAATTCAAAACATACATGTTTGCATACATAACAAAATAATTTCATGTGTGTAGTGAAATCCTCGCATAATAAACAAATAAAGACCAGCAAAATATTTGTATCGATTATTCCGCCACTATTTTACCATGATTTACTGTTTGTTTTTTATATCGATATGTCTGTTTGTTTGTTTTGAGGCAATTTTCAATTTTCCGTATATGCTATGATCTCATGGAATTTTTGCATTACAATAAATAAAGTTGGAAAAATTCATTATTTGAACAATGGATTTTTCTTGAATATGTACCGTGTTTTTCCGAACATGGATAAAATTGATAGAAAAACGAGAATAATACACTCGAAAATAACATATTCTTGAGAAAAAAAATCAAGTCGAAGAGATACATACATGTAATTAATCGTTAAATATTCACAATGGACGGATTTCTTGATTTTGTTCCTGTTATCTACCACTTTTCAAAAAAGGTTAATAATTGTCACGCAGTATACATACAATTCAACGGTTGCGCTTTTCATTTATTGTTTACTAAATGTGGAACGTACGGTTTTATTATATTAAAGTTCGTATCATTGAAAAAACGGTCTAGACTCTGAAATTTCATTATTCAGAAAATACACAAGCACACACAAGAACAAAATTACTTCCTCAGATGATAGAGAAAAATTTATGCAAAAGAAAGGCACCCGATTAATAATTATTATTACGATGAAAGAACGCAAACCAATTAAATTATTTATTAAATGCTGATGAATAGACAGATAGTGGTCGCTTAAAAAGTGGGGGCATACTATTCTTTGCATAAAGTTAAAGTCTGCATATTGAAATATTTAATCGGTAATGCGCAAAATGTGAATAATGATGAATAAGAAAGCTTAATAATGGATTGGCATCAAGATTAGGTTATTACTTATCAAATATATGTGAGGATAAGCAGGGGGGTGGGAATCGGGTTACTTTTCATTATTATTCAATCATTTGGTCCTTCATTGAGTAATTCATTTGATTGACTATGGTGAACTGCCGTCGAGTACTTTCTGTTATGAATGTTTTGTCACTTTAACCTACTCTGAATCTGTAAGTGTGATGTTTTAGACCGAAAAAAAAAAACTCATCACATAGATTAGGTTGAATGTTTCCATTATTGAATTAGCCTAGCAGAACAATAAACAAATAATGATCTTTTTATTAAATGTTGTTGTAGTACTGTAATAATAAAGATTTTCGGATAGTCTTTTATTTGTTTATTGTTTCTTGAAAGAAATCTAACTGAATTTGACGTAGAATTTTTTTTTGGTTTATAAATGAAATCTAGCTTTCTATATGTCCCAAGTTCATAGGCATAATGCTAGTAACAACAACACGTCGTATTAAAAAAAAATTGTAGCGTTAGTTGGCAAGTTATTTACTACTTACTCACATTACGTAAATTGTGTCCGTTTAGACTAGCGTTTCATTAATCAATCACACACAAAAAATAAGCTTCTAATCGTCTAAAAAAACAATGGGTAAATATTTCGTTTGTTTTGTTGTGGTAGATTAAGGTTACATTACACATACAGAGATTGTGTAATTGGTATTTTCGGTGAAACATATATATATATTCGGTTCGGTATTTTTGTTTTAATTCAATTTTTCGTTAAATAAAAATTCATCAAAAATTCTATTATGACTGAATCGTCGTAACCTTAGCAAACTACTGACGAACGACACAATAATTAATTTCCTTTGAGACAAGAAAAAAATCGTAAGCAAGCAAGAGAAGACATAACAAATCTATCTTGGTGGTGGCTTTTTTCGTTTGATTAACATTTGGTGAGAATCGCAATTGAGGAATAATAAAAAATTGGTATATACCATAGCAGTAGGCTGAGACCTTTTCGTTGTATTTTTCCAAAATGTAATAGAACAATTGGTACAATTGTATAACAGTTATAATTTATTTTATATTACAACTTGTTTTTCGAGAAACGCCACATGACCATACGAAAAAACGGCTATTAATAAAAATGATTATGGAACTGTTCGGCGTTAAATGGCTAATGATAGTCTGTGTGTGTGTATACATATATGTGTACATATATAGACATATTAAGACTGAACTTTGTTTACGTGTGTATTACGTGTTACGAAATGAATGGGTGAATTTATGAGAGAACAAAGAATAGTTGAAACTTAAAAAAAATATTCGTCATCACAAGAATTATTATAGGAATTCAAATCGTGTGTATCTCTTTATTTACGCGTTTGGGGCTGGCTATTAATTTATTATCATCGAGTTAAAGATCATTCTTTTTTGCCTGACGACATTTTGCATATAGAAATTTTGGGGATCATTTTTCTTATAACATATGAAATCGAATCTTTGGCGTTACTTGAATCGTATGAATTAAATATTTTCGATATATCGGTATATACCATATATACGCCAATTTCTCTGGGCTATTTTTTTTGCATATGAATTTTTTAGAGCGCGCGTTAAAGTTCGATGATTAACTTAAGAGTAGTAGTTTCACAGATTTCGTCCACTAATAGAGCTTTTAAAATGCGCAGTAACCCCCTGAACCTTTTTTAATGAGGCGTTATTTGACAACATGCACGCTACGTTTTGACTTTTTTAAGGAACAAGCCAAGTTTCTTACACAACTAAGCTTAATTTATATACTATTGGGTTAGAGCATCGTTCACTCACATTTAGTGAGCGGATCCGTGAGAAATATCGCACGTTTTTGATTGTTCACTAAATTAATTGTTCAGTGATGTTCAACCTAAAAATCATAACCAATAATATTTTTGCTTAGGATGCGGTAATAACAACCACCAATAAAAATGGGATTCTAGATAAAAAAACAGAAATTTCTAATAAAGCGAAATCATCATGTTATAAAGAGAGTTTTCCCGTTCGATTTGTTATCATGATCCACGATGCATGTGCCACGAGACTTAATAACAATCAATTGACGTTTTTGTTCGATAATCTCAATAAATCAAAAAAACTGGTCTCGAAAGAAACATGGCACACTAAAAATATATTGATCTTAATCTTAATATTATTAATTTTTTATTACTGGTGCTGAATGCAAGAAAGTGCATACATAGTTTTGCTGCCCTCTGCGCTTGTGCTGTGTCCCATGCAATGTTAATCGTTACGTTTTTTCTTTTATGCAACGGCAAATTGAAGCCAAACAGACTTTTCTTTCCGTATGCAAGTAAAAGTGGAAGAGTACTGACCATGGAGCTTGATTCTTTTTTTAGTTAATTAGCTTATGTGTATGCAACAGCAATACTTTTGTGTGTAATAGGAATTGTATGTTTAAATTTCGTGGTCCATGCAACTCTCGTACACCGTGTTTTTGTGTTTAGTTTCATAAAATTCTTGAATTAATCGATTAACGACGAATTTCATGGAAATGAATTTCATGGGTCCATCCATCCATCTATCCATCCATACCATACTCTTAGAAATCGACGCATAAAAATTAACTCGTAAAAGGGGGCAAGCAACACACATTCTGACACACATACGGAGATTTTAATTCTCTCACCTTTTGATTAAGGGATGATGATGTGGGCGTTGTTTTCTGAAAGGTTTAATTGTCTCACCTGGGTTGATGTCGATCTGATTTTCCATCTACTTTTGATTTACAGCGGAGCGGAGATCACAACTCAAAAAGATCGATTTCGTCTGTCTTTCCACGTAAATAATCTTATTGTCATGGTTCTCACGATTTCATATTTCATATATTTCGTTCAGAAATTAGGAATTAATGTTTTTCTCACGCTTGATTTTTGACATTTCGTAATTTTAGAGATGATATTCTCATGCGATGATGCGCGATAACCCTTTATTTTTTTCGCCAACTGCATGGATACATGGATGCATGTACATAAATTAGTAGAACACGTCAAACTAACATTTCACACACTACGAAAGTAGCTTTTTGCTCAACGAAAAGCTGGTTTTGACGTGTGTTGCATATGTCTTATGGACAAAAAGGCGTAAGCGATGGTGTGTCAATGAAAGGCGGCGTGGCACTTTAAATTATAATGTTGAACATTGTGCTTAGCCGCGTGATCGTCCGCTAGAACGATCGAAATCAGCCAGCCTGAAATTACGATCAACACGAGATGATTTTTGCAAGCACAAAATAAAATTGCGTGTTCATTTTTCAGTTTTTTATTAGATTATTATTATTGGCAATTGTTATCAAACAAACACACATTAAACAGCCATTACTATTAGATTTATGCAGTATTATTATTAGCAAAAAAGTATATACTACGAAGGAAAAAAAAATTAACTTTAAAAAAGGAAAGGGGAAGGGGGGGACGACTATGTAAGGGTCTTGCAATATTGAGAGTCTCAGCATGCAAGGATAAAAAAAAAAGGTGGTAATTGTAATGGTACAATTATACAGCAATAAATTGGAACCAGTCCAAGCAAAATAGAAAAGAAAAGAAAATTCTTGAAAGGTTCAGAGAATAAAACCAATAAAGAATAATTACAAGGAAAATAAAGAAAAAAACCCAATCCTAGAAAAAACCCGATCCCAAATCTGTCCCAAATGAAAAATATTACATAACAGTTTCATGCCTTAATTTCGATTACTATTATAGGAATAGCTATTTTTTTTTCGACGCGTTTTTTTGTAAGGTGAGAATTATATGTACGTGTATGAGATTGTATTTATATTATATATATGTATTTGTTAAATGCAAAGATGGAGAGTCATCAAGGGTAAAAAAAAAATGGATGCTTGTTATGCATTAGACTCTCGTTTTTTGATGGGGAATGGGGATTTTATATGACAAATGCTTTTTTTTGTGAAATTGTGCGCGTTTAATCGCATTCTAAGATGTTAATTATTATAACGATATGAAATTAACGTGATGTGATGAATGAAGACTACTACATACAGAAAAAAACTGATCAAAAATTAGACTATGTAATTTTCAATGAAATACTTTTTTTTTTGTTTTAGACACCGTGAAAAAAAATCTCATTCACCCATAAACAGAGAAAGAAACTACAAATTGCATTCCACAGACCCTTTATTTCCAGTTGAAAATTGATTGATAATTAGAATCGTGGTTCACTTGATGCAGTAGTTGTCTGTTGATGATAGGTATTGAAATTCTCGTATTCGTTTACACCTTGAGAATGCATCGCATGATTTTGAAATGAGGAATGACCGACCTGTCCATTTGCGGATTCAGTGTGAGTTTGGATTGGAGAGGAGTATATTTGATGAGTACCGTAACTGTTAAATGTGCCAGGATGAGGATCGACATGGGCAGCTGAATTGTGTAATGAATTGGGGTCGTATGAGATGTCATAATTTGTGACAGCAGTCAAATTACTAATGCCGGCACCAGTTGCATAGGGCATTCCTGCGCCTTGTGTTGAAATCGCACCTTGATTATCAATTCCTTGTGGTGGCATATATCCCATTGGGCGCGGGTACCTTGCGCGTATTGCTCGCGAGTAATTTAAACTGTAATCGTTGACCATGCCCGGTGCTAGATGGTATGGTCGATTTCCCATTTCTGGCACTGCTGTCATTGGTGGTTCACGGTGGAATCTTCGATTTGGATCATACCATGAGGATTCTGGTCGATATGGAGTGGGATCGCTTGATGATCGATTGTTGCGACTTCTTGATCGATGTTGTTGTTCTGCCTCGGCTGCACGGAAATCTACTGTCCAATAAGAACCTTTGCCTGGTTCATTGATAGGACGGGGTACTCGGACGAATGTTTTATTAAGTGATAAATTATGACGAATCGAGTTCTACAAATTAGTAAATTAATAGTTAGTAAAAATATTTCCCGATTCGAGTCTTGCTACAAACACCGAGTGTTGGGGTTTGTCAATCTCAATCAACAAAAATAAAGATAATTACCTTCCAACCAGTTCCGGCGGTTTTGTAGTAAGGGTAATTCTCCATTACCCAGTTGTAAATTTCATTCAAGGTCAGTTGCTTGTTAGGACTATTCGTGATTGCATATGTGATGAGAGTTGCGTATGAATACGGAGGTTTTCCTTGGATATGAGTTTCTACGACCAAATCTTGAGGATTCTTTGTCGTTGTTTGGGCGCTATTATTATTATTGCCGTTGTTATTATTTGAAGAGTTATTTGAATTATTCGCGACATTATTGTTTTGCTGTTGAGATTGTTGCTGTGAATTATTATTATTACTATTATTGTTGCTGTTTCCGTTAATTACAGGCATTTTTCGAGCAGGATTTGTGAATGCATCAAGTGATGAATTGATGTTAACGGCAGCGGTGGATGTCGTTACAATTTTTGCATCGACATTCGATGATTGTTGCTGCTGTTGTGAATTCATTAAATTATTAACGGACGAGGCATTTGGAAGGTTCGTGACAGTAGGCACATTGAGCGGTGGCAATACAGCTCGAGGGTGTTGATAGTGTTGGTGAATCTGTTGAGGAGTTGGAGTTTGTTGTTGAGTTGGGGATTGGGAAGTTTGCTGTGGTGGCTGTTGTGACTGAGTTAATTGAGGAGTATGCTGATGACTTGGTGTTTGCTGCTGCGGTTGGTAAAAGTTTCTATTATTAATACGATATGACCAGTCTGGAAGTCCGGCGAGGTTTGTGCTTTCTAGTTCAGCAGTCATTTCTTTAATTTTCTTCTTGAAATATAATAAATATTATTATAGATTATTTGTTTAGTCGATGTGGATTATGAATCAATGTGTGTGTGTGTTGTGTGTTGTGCGTTGTGTACGTTATTGATATGTGTGTTTTTTCTTTACTACGAGAAAGGTATCGAACGAGGGTTTATATGCAAAAAAGAGTTGAGATGAATCTAGAAAAAAATTTTTATATTATGTTGTAAATTGTAAATGCTTGTTTTGAGTGAACTCGTAAAGTTCAAATAAAAAGGGGATTATTTTATATATGAGTGAATTGAACACAGTATATATTTTTTTAATATAAACTATCTACTGTATATTTGAATATAATATAATATTTTACAGTAATATATATATATATATATATATATATATATATATATATATGTGTGTGTGTATATGTTTATAGTAGATCGACAAATATAGAAGTATCTTTGAATATCGACGATATGCGGTAAAAGTTCGTTGACGGTAAAATTTTGGAATTTATCTTGTGCGGGATTGACGGTAAAATTTTGGAATTTATCTTGTGCGGGATTGAAAATTGAATTATTTTTCCTTTTTGCCCTGGTGTTTTGTATATATGTGCCTGTCTATTTGTATATATGCTGTTCTTGTTTTTGTGATAGAACAGCGCGAAAATAAAAGATGGTTGTGGTTGTTAGTGTTATGATGCTATTGCTACTGTTATTGTTGATGTTTTGTTTTATTGATTGTTGATATTTTTCGTCTCGTGGTATCTTTCTGGCCTTTTGCTCGTCAAAAAAAGAGTAAGAAACTCAAGGTGGAAAAATCACTTATATTTATAGTCAAATAGTCAATGCGTGGAACTCGAATTTCTATTGAATTCATTATTATTAATAATACTAATGTTATTATTGTTGATAAGAATAATAATATTTTAGTAGTCGCAAAAAAAACATATATATAAATATATGTGAATATAAATAAATATAATCTATTTTTACAGTACATGTTAATAAATTTTGTTAAGTCACACACTGTGATTTCTTCATATCACACAAAATATGTATGCCGAAAATGTTGGAATTTATAATAATCATCACATTGTCACATTGCTTGTACCCTTAATGGCCAAAAAGTGTGTGAAAGGAACCCTCTTTTTTTATTTCATTACGTCTACCCGACGATATTTTATGAGCCAAATTCTAGGGAAAAAACGATTCAAAAGGGAAAGGAACATTCAGTAAGAGGTTACCACCGCAAAAGAACAAGAAAATTCTGTTCTTTTGAGATTCTCTTTTTCTTTCGTTATCTTTATGGTAAACACGTAAATTTACTTCTCAAACATGCACAAATTATGTATATTAACATAACCTAAACAAAATGTCTGATTTATAAATAAGTAAATAAAGGCAAATTATGCATTATTGTTTCCTGATCTAATTATCATTGAATAATACGCGCAGTCTCGTTTCTTTATCCTTGGCCGTAAATCCAGATGGATAAAATATATACGTAATATTCAATTTTCTTTATTGCAGAATGACTTCATAAGGTAAAAAAATTTTGCCTGTATATACTGGTAAAACGGGATTGCACGCGGCATTTATTCCACAATAGAATATCGCGGAAGAATATCTTGTTGGCTGTTACTTTACTAAATTTTTTACTAATCTATTACGATTATTTGGATAAACAAATAAAATAGATCATTCTCAATTTCTGATAATTTATTCTTTTTAATATTGTTGTTTTTTTTCAATGCACTCATTTTCAGGATAAATCTATTTTTAGTGTTCTAACATGATGAATATTTCTTTTGCTGATCACATCTATGAGTTGTTACTAACCAAAGTAATTATGCGCATGAGTTGATTTATTTTTTTTTATAGATATTCCTTAAAATATAATAAATATGTGAGAAAATTTATTTCGGAAGTGCTTTTGACTGAAGATGTCGCCCCAGTCCGTCCAGGACTTGAGCCTCAATGATTTTAACGAATGAAATCGGTTCTAGCTTATGTCAAAGGGAAGTTGCGGGAAAACTCTATCTTCAAACAAAGCTTCTCGTCCGATTAGCATTTTATAATTTGACTTCGGCATCATCTTAGATAAAATCTATATAGGGTTTTTGCCGAAAATAAACAAATTCGTCATCAGGTAACCTCCTTATTTTCTTTTTAACAAGGCATTCAGAAAGCCAATGGGTGAACGCGAGACACCGATGTGAGAAATTTTCGCTTTTACGTTATTCTTTTTATTTATTAGGAATAAAAGTTTTTTAACGGGACTCAGCATTAAACGTTTAGTGATTTTACATCGCGATAATTAAATATGATTTCAAATAATGTGAATTATATATAATATTTGCTCAAAATATCTGATATCGATATTATTAGTTTATTAGCATGAAATCAAAAGGCGAACATTTTATAAATTTCGAGTATTTAAGCGAGTCGTTTCCCCAGTTGTCTAATCAATCGTAATAAAACTATGGGGTGATTATAATAAGTCGTTTTTTCTTGTTATTTACTCCACTGATAATCTAAGACAAAGAAAAAAAATATATATATATGTTATGTAATACAGACGATCGAGATGATCCGGAAATTTGAAGAATGTTATCTTTTATATTCGAGATAATAACTTCTTTTTATAATGTTCTTATTCTCCATATATTTATTTTATTCTCCATATATTTATTAGCAAATTACCGAGCGATTAGTTCTGCATTCTACTTTAACTATGTTGTACTTTAACTATGTTGTAGATAGATGTGCGCTTTTTAAATATCAAATTTCTCATTAAAATGTGCAAAATAAATTTACTCAAGTTGATATCATTTTTGTAAACCATCAACACGAATGCTTGAGCGAGAGATACACGTAACTAAAAAGGTATTTGCATGAGAAAGGGAAAGGGAATAAAAAATTTCGCAGTTGGTCTTTCTCTTTAGGGTCATTTATATGTGATTTTTATCGTTTCATTAGTACGATATTTTTCTCATCTCTGTTTATTATTATTGTTGATTTTATTTGTTTGCTTTTCGTTACTAATGGGAAAGAATAATATTTGGGAGCGGAGAAATAAGTTAATGGAAATTGGATGTTTTTTTCATTTTCAGGGTTTACTCATTCAAATTGTTTATTATTATGATTCATTTTTCCCTTTGACATGGCATGAATATTTGTTATTTGTGCGTGTGTATTGTGTGTTCGTTCTCACTATTTACTGTGGAAAATTATTTAGTCAAGTGCTGTCAAAAAACCTCTAATATTTCGAGGATCTTTGTGATTATTTATTTACATATCGTTGATGTCGTTATTATTTGATAACAACATGTGTGCTAAACAATCGTGATAAACGATCGCATAGAAATTAGACGATTTTCTTGCTGCATGATAATCCGCAGCATCTTCTTTCATCATAAAACGAAGCCGACCACAGTAGTAGCAATATACGAATAAACACCAGGTTTTGAGCTACACACAAGCAAAGCAAGACAAGGCACGAAATGCAAGATAAACGGAATTTCTTGCAATATTTTTTATTATAATGAACAAAATTAACGACGAAAGAATTGCTGCTTACCAAAAAAACACCACGGCGGTCCAGACCGCTGCTATTATAATGTGACTTATCTTGAATTGCGAGTCGTGTCAAAATTATGATATTACGTGCAGTCAAATTTAATATGTAGCACAGTAATTTGTTTCGCATCATGGAAATCTTCCACGAAGATTATTTGAGAAGTGTGATTGGGTAAAACGGTGAGTCGTATCAATGTGTAATCTAATTTGTATTTACCGTTGTGTTTTTAATATTTTCCAAGTAACAATTAACACGTTACTAATGTCTGCTGCTTCATTCGATAACACGTGCCCGAAAAGTAATTTCGCTAAGAAGCAAATTTTAAATTTAAAAATTTGGTGTTAAACATTCCTTCCATAAATTAGCATTGCCACCTTGATTTTTAGTTTTTGATCGGATAAACGAATTACCGCAAACGATACTTTTAAGCATTACAACTCATAAGGAAGTCTACGAGTCCAACAAAAAATCTCTTATAGTCCGAGGAATTCTTGATTGATTATTTTCGAGATTTCTTGTACGTATCAAGTTTAACTAAAAAGAATGGCACGTGATAATAAAACGGAAAGAATTACTAAGCTAGAATAGGCACGTGGGGGAACAAAATTAGCCAACTCAATCAGATCGTAACATATGTGTTTGCGTTTATTCTTACAATGGGCTGTGGACGAATCAGTGTGCCATTTGGAATAGCAGCAAGACAACTGATAAGCTGATTGAAAAGGTTATGTATTATTGTAAAGGAAATGCATGCTGAGAAACGCGGACACGCTGGCCCGAAGTTCGTTATTCCGCCTTTGGCTGGTGGTTATGTATTAAAGTGATAGAATATATAATATTTAATTAATTGGGATTTTAATATGTTTGTCACAAAATATGTCAAGTTTCAAAGTTTAAATTTATAAATTAACTTCTCAACTTCCAATTAGTGTTAATTATAGAGATTTTGTCCCTCTTTATAGTCACTTTCTATAAAGTCACAACATTTATGGTCAGATTTTCATTGATGTATAAAGTTCCTGCTACTAAGTTATTATAATAAAAAATCATATATTCGCAAATCTTTATGATTATCAAGATCATGAAAGTTTACTATGGTCTTGATAAAAAGAATCGATTATAATTATTATAATCGCAAAAAACATGAAATAATATAGCATGGCATGGTTATACAATATAAAAATATATGGAATGAAGTCAGTAAAAAAGAAACAAATTACTTTAATTATTATAGAATGGTAATTAAATATAATTGAATTTTTTTATAATTTCAGAATATTTTCTAATAAAAATAAATATATGTATAACAATTGTTATTTGTCACAATCGCATTTTAATTGGCTAATTAGGATTTGAGTTAGAGTTAAGATTCTGGATATTGGATGGAAATTGTTATAAATTTTATTAGATCTTTTATTATCAATTATTTATAATCAAAATCTAGATTGTTATTTCAAAGAATAGAATTTTTATAGTGAACTAACTTTATAATTACATTATCGAATTCAATAATAATTTTTTATAAATATTCAAATTATTAAATTTTTATATATATTATCAAATACATAAATTGCTTGTTTTTATTAAGATAAGAAATAAAAAATAAAAATTTCATATAATTCAATTTATTACTCGTTTAATTCTTAATTGTTTTAAATTATATACTGCACTTAAATTTTTCTATAATTACCTTTTTTGAAAAAAAAATTCATTGATTATTTTTATTCTAGAATTCATATTTTGATATGTTAAATAATTATCTCATTATCAAGTGTATCAACAAAAGATAATGCCATAATTTATTGGAGTGCACGAGGTAAGTATCTCTTTAACCTGTACACACACTCCACACAGATGAATTATGAATTTAAATTAGCAAAGAGAGAAGAAAATATATAAAGCTTCTAAGACAATACTTCTGAATGATAAGATTGGAAACTAATACGCCAACTTCTAGGAAACTGTTACAGTTGGCGAAAGAAAAGTATTGACAGCAGTATACTCTCTAGAAGTTGAAGGAACGGGTAATAATACACAATCTGAATCATTGACAGATCAGACACTTTGATTTTGATGACAACTTGTGTGCAAGAATATGATTTCTTCGGAGAAACAGATTTTTCGAATGTTACCTAATCCTGCTGGTTTCACAGTCTCCTGTCCTTAACAAAGAATACAAGTATATTCAACGTCGCAAATATAGTATTCCCAATGTTACGGCTGAGAAACGAGATAAATGGAAGAAAGAATTTTAACGCTTTATTCAAAGCCCCAACACTCGAGTCACAAGGTTGTTACCTGTTGGAGTGTTCGATGCAATTAACGCGTCTTTAATTTCTCCCATTTGTCCTTGCGTTCTTCCAACTCAAATCGTCCACAGCCTGGTGGTTTTCCATCAGAAAATTTTCACTGTTGATTATCAATTGACAAATTGTTATACAAGCAGTCAGATGATCCGAGGTGTTACAACCAATTGTGGTCAACGGCCCTATCGCCAATATCAATGTGATATATATGAAGTTGAAATTTCCTGGATTCACGATCATGGAAGTAAAGTCTTTGTGATAATACACAGGCGGAATAATTATCGGTCCAGGAAGGTTTTTTGCCTTTTATTTTCTTCTTGATTGGTAAGGTGCGGTTTTACAATCATTTTAGGTATATTCTGATCAAATTAGCAGATATAAAATAGTGAAGTAAATCAAATACAATAATTCAAAGAACTCACTTTAATTGCTATACAATTTGATAATTTTTCTTCCCCCAATTTACAATACATTAAGCTTCTTTCCCAAGAAAGGCATTTCGTTTATTGTTGTTCTGTGCGAACTAGAAACCCTCAAATGATGCATGGCGATTATGATGGAATTAATGTTGTCCCGACTATAAATTGTGCGAGTGTTGAACAGATTTTTTTCTGTTTAATTAATTAATTAATGGAAAGCACATGTTAAAATTTGTCGATCCGTCTAAAGGAAGGTCAAAAGAGATGTCCAAATGGAGCATTGGACAGCATTCCGGAAAAAAACATAATTATTAGGTAAACAAGGAAAAATAATTTTTTCATCCAGACAGAATTGTTCATTGTGATTATTAATCACCATGTGATTTTCAAAAAGTAAATGCTGCTATTTGCTAATAAATGTTTGATAGGTAAATATTGACGTCGTATGTGTAAATTGTTTATGTTCATCATTTCATTTAGTAAAATCACTGATAATGAGGGAATTATTTCGAATAGACAACAAACATGAGTAAATAGTATAACACGTATAATAGGATCAAACAAATTTTTATGAAAAAGCCCGGCGTGGGATCTTAGAAAGTAAGGAGATTTTCCAAACACGCGGAAACGGAATTAATGTGGCGCTAACGTGTGAAAAAACACTTTCTTCTTTTAACATTACCCTTTATCGATCTTGACTCAAAAAAAATCTATTGTTTAATCGTTACTTTAGTTTACTAATTTATTTGATGGGAAGTTTTTTTGGGTTTGAACCGGTTTGGCGGCAAAGAATTACGTAGATTGGGGGGAGGGATGGATTTAATTAAATTTTTTATAAAAAGATTATGTAGAGTCATTTGTTCGGGAATTATTTGACAGATGGAATGAATCAAAGAACAATAAAATATTATATGCTATTTATAGATTAATAGAAGAGGAATCACTCAAAAAAAAATTAATCGTATCATTCATGCATATGATCAAAATTTAACCTTTTGTATCACGAACACGGTAATTGCAAACAAAAATGTATGCATTTCACAATTTGAAATAAAACAACGCGCGTTAGATTACGCCTATAACTTTGAGATGTTATTCAATAAATAAATAACAAAAGGAAGATTACATATATGATATCATCAAATACAATATAAATTTGGTGAACAACGATTAAGTTTTAGAAAGTACATTATAATATATTAGCTAGCTATATATATATATTCATATACTTTATATGAAGACTATTTAGCATTGTTTGGTTGAAAATGTCTGTGCATTTATTAGTCAATATTGATGTGATCATATCTTTAAAAATTGCGAGTATAAATGAACTCGAAATTGTCACCTAATCACCTTCATTTAAACCTTAAAATCAATGAATCATATGAAACACAATCGTCATTCTCGATCCATTTTAATTTTAATAAATAAAACTGTTGATTAAAAACCACGCGTTGCTCGAAAATTAATCAATTTGATAATAAAGATTCAAAATTCTGCGACATCTAAAGTCGGAAATCATAGCTTTTTCTATTTATAGTGTGATTGTGGTGATTGTGTCTAAATTTGCATTATTGCTTTTTCGAATCGATTTTTGAGGTTTATTTGTATGATGTAATAATCATAGAGCATTGTTTCTATTGTTTCTAACTCGAACCAAAAATAAACAGAATAAAAAGAACATAATTAAAGTCGGTGAATCTATTAAGACGGAGATAATCTTAGCATAGATTCAATGAAGTAAAAAAAAAACCTAATTATAGAAACTAATTCAAGGGGAGATTTTAGGTTTCAAATAAGATTTATGTAAAAAAAATCTTATTTATCTGAAAGAAACGGAAAAATCACAAATGTCCATTTTGCTAATAGGATTAACATGATCTCATGATAGTTTAATTATAACGCGCGTATTCGTGTTCAACTATCATGAGATTTTTTCCCACGCACACGTGGATGTGTATCACGTTATGTTATCAATAAAAAAACAGGTTATTTTTCCAAACAATTAAAAAAATGATTTTTTGGTTTTTGCCTGTTTTCTGAATGAAAGTATGCATTTTTGTGTATTGTTTTTAGCAGTAAATATCGAAAGATTTCTGTATCACAATATACGTAACTTAAACAAACGTCAACGACAGGTTTTTTGCTTGTTATTATGAGCCAGATTTAGATAATGCTTTTTCTATATATTATTAATCTTTATTATCATGTTAAATCGAGCCCGTAATTGAAATTTTTAGAATTAATGCGTAATAAGAGGTTTAAACGAACACGTAAAAATAAGCATTCTTGATTTACTTGGCCTCAAAAATAAGAATTTCAAATCTCGCATAAAAATTTACGAACCACTCACATCGAACAATAAAGCAGAGAATTTCGAACAATAGAAGTTTAAATTGGTAAACCCAACCCTCTTTACCTATTTGGGTAACAAGTGTTGACGATTATAGATTAGTGGTTTACTTTGTTCGACAAATAATATATTGATAATTGTGTACTTTCCTGGGTAAGATTGACTTTACCAAGATTTAATATTTTCTCAAACCAAAATATAATGATAACGTAAATGAATTACGAAGATAGAAATATAAGATATCGGCCAAGCATTGCTTCTTTATTCACATTTTCGAGCGTTAAATGACAAATAAAATGTTATTTATATTATTAATGTTTTTTAAGGAAAGCTGTTTTTATCAAAAGAGCCGTAAATAGCAAAAACTAAAGCGACATGCTTCAATATTGACCTAAATTCGGAGTTTCAATTTAAACTTTGATCAATTTGCAGAAAGTTCATGTATTTTAATTTTCAATGGTTGCAATTTATCTTCTACTCATGATGTAAATCTGTATGGAAAAAATCGCCAATGAAAGATTCGATTTTCTTTCAAGAGATGCCTGTCACAATCGAAAGTTCGATAAAAAAAAGACCGTAGCACATTTAATCATTTTAAATATCGCGGTCTTTATTATTTGTCCTTATTGTTTGATAAAAAAAGTATCATATGATGATATTTCATCCACTAAATGTTTTAGAGTTGTTGAAATGCATGTATGCATACATTACAATTTTCCGCTATTTTTAATAAAAAGAAGTGCGTCATAAGCAATTTGACGTCTAGGTCAAAAACTGACATCCAAATAAAGTTTATCTCATCATAACAAATCAATATTTATTTGCACCATCGTTGTTCGTACAAACAAAAAATGTTTGTGGTCTAAACGGATGTTGATTATTTGTGAGGCACAATATGTCTGCGAGAATTAATTAGGTTTTCTGTTGTGTGATCGTATATTTTAAATCCTTTCTTTCAGTATGTTCCAGATGATCACTATGCATCAACTCCCTGATTTTATCTTTTTATGGGTCATGTTAGCTCTTTATTCCTTCATTCATGTTTGAGATTTTGCATCAAACAGCCAAATTTTGTGTCTGATAAATTAAAGTTTTTCCTCCTAAATTTTATTTAGAATATTATTATATTTTTCCAGTTGAGCTCGTTTGAATTTAAGTTTTAGTATCAATTAGTAATTTGGTTTATGGATATAACTTGCTCTTTAAAAATCACCAATTGAAAACTAAGAACAACCGAAGCTGCATATGATTTTTTTATGTGATTTAGTCGTTCAAAACGGTTCTTCTTTTTTTCCGTGAGTGACAGTAATTTGTGACTATTGGATTCGATTGACTTCAAAAACAAAGACCCTAAAATACCAGTGATCCTTTTACTCTTATCAATACCTTAATTCATAAGCATAATAATATGCATAAAAGCCCGTATTACTCGCCGATAGGTTGCTTTTGATTATGTGAATATTTGCCAAGTATCAAGGACAGCATAAATGTATTGCATACTCAAGAAAAATAAAACGATAAGCTTCAAAATCGAATGATCTTAACTTTATTTCGTGCGTGCTGCGTTATGTGAGTAATTATCACAGAAAATGGTTATTGCAGAATATCTATTTAATCACGTGCCTACGATTAATTATAAATGACGTCATTAAAAACAATATTCGATTATTTCCATTCTTACAATAAGGTCTAAATCTGACAGTCAAAGTCCGTATGTTGACTTTTGGAGCTACTGGAATTTAGGTCCAATTGGAGGTTCCAATAAAATTAACTGGACTGGTCCAATTAATTGCTCGTGACGACATGTGATATTAAGTCAGTAAACATACCCTGATTAAAAGAAAAATAAATACGGACTATGAGATCACATTATTGTAAAAAGATGTATTCTATATCGTGTGATCAATATCGATATATGCATTTAAGCATAAATCGCATAAATCACGCATTGAAGATACAACACGGATTTACAATTTAACGATTATTGACCACGATCGAAAGATGACAAACTTTTACTTTGTTATAGCACAAAAGTGACATGTAAAGAAGATTTACGTTATATATTTGTTTTTGTGTATGAGCTTTAGTGTATGGCATTAATGTATATGGTATGGTATATTGTGTATTTGTATATTTAATTGAAGTTTAAATGGAATACGCATGGTTTGTTATTGAATACACATAATTCTGATCTATATAATTACAAAATGAAATCATTTACAAAGAAAGGAGACACGAGATAATCTCAAAAATACATAAACAGAGATCAGATTCAATTTTCTAATTTAAATTAGAAGTTAATCTGGTACGTCTGGTATTAATTATTAAGTATGAATGTCAGATAAAGAAGGGTTAAATGTATACAAGATAGCAAAAGACGCAGATTTTTAATTTTCTGACAGGTGAGAAATTAATGATAAGATAAGGAATACATTAACTCGTTCAATCCTTTTTTGTGTGTACGTGATATGCGTATTAATGATTTTGCTCAATGCTCAGAATAAATAATCATTAAAGTAATAGTGAAATGTCATAAAGTGATATGTTAAATGACATTTCTTGTGGAATCAACGATATGCAGTGCAAGCATCGCGTGGGGGGATTTTCCGGAGAGATAGGAAATGTTATCGCTTTCTATGATTTTGTGTATTCACAGATCTTGTACCAGTCGAGATAACAATGATTCCTGTCACCTGAAATTATCCATCGTAGCAACGGAAGCGGTTCTTGGAACTTTTTAATGATATTTCGTCTTGATTAGCTGGGATTATCAATTTCGTAAGATAAAATCTATCTACGTATTTATTGATTAATGACGATTTTGTACAGTAGAACCCTTAACCGATGTTGAAGAGTGACATTTAAGAAAATCGGGTGATAAAGTTTTATCAGAAAAAGGGTGAAATAAATTTTTGATCATCGATAATTTGAAGCTTTTGCGCAGCCTCAAATACCTTGAGGTGACATGTACAGTATCCAATCCGGTTTATTACGTAATAAAAAGCAATCGATCTAAATAGATATGTATATAAATTTTTAGTTTACAGAAAAGAAAAGCTTCTTAATAAACACTTATTTGACACGGGTTTGTGATTACAAAAATTGAGACATAAACAACAGGCCTGGACTCTGCGACAATTAATAAATTCCATGGATTTGATACGTAATTTATGTAAAGACAAGGGTGACCATATTCTGATTGTTTAACCTTTGAAATTAAACTAACCAAACTTACCATTTAGTATTAGCCAATTCATACATACATACGGAAAGAAACAAGTATTGCATATGCTGTCAAGAATTCATACAGTAACTCTAACACAAAATAAATCATGCATTTTTTTTTCTTTAGAGCTTACTGGAAATCTAATTTACATTACTATAATAGAATTATCAGAAAAGAGGAGAATCGATACAAGTGAAATTTTTGCAACGGGCTTGGTAATGACATCAATGAAAAAATTTTGTACGCCTCATTCTTTTGCTTCAAATGTGATTGCAAGAGAAAAGGGCTGAAAATTTCGTGTCAAGTTAATCCCCTTCGTCTTAAAATAAAATTTATATTCTCGAATATTCTTTAAAGCAGCATATACGTACTCTCTCTCTATATATATCTATATCCGTGTATGGTCCCTTTATTACCTGTTTTCGATTAGAATGGGAATTGCATGAATTAGCAAGTAGACTGAAAAGCTGTGTTAGCGAGATAAAACTGTAAAACGTAAAATAGCTTTTTTATTCTAATCTTATGTGTAGAGACCCTAGAATCTAATACCTAGTAAACTACTCAACTTCTCAATATTTAATAAATGCTAGGATATCACAGAGCCCCCTTTATCTTTATCACCCGAATTTAAAGATAATTTAAACCCATGTAACAATTTTACCAACACTAAGTTCAATTACATGGAACGTAACGCATGCATCTAGTGATAAAAGAAACGAAAATTAATCTAATTGATCAATAGGGTAAAAAAACGTGTTCTATTAATAATGAGACTTTTCTTGTAACCTAATCTAAAACTTTTGTATGACATGAAATAATTCGGCCCTAGTTGTGCTATTGCCAAATTTGAACAATTATTAAGGAACTTGAAATCGATTAGATAAAGTCGTGTTTGCAGCCATTGATGATGATAATGCTGTACCACATCACACATCACATAATCCCCAAGCCGCTAATAACGCATGCCTCAGCCCAAATTTTTTGTCCACTATCTGTCATTATCTGGAAAATTTCTAACCAAGATCATACTATGAATTTTACGTTTCTTTGCCTATCTTGTGTTTATTTGTACAGAAATTTTCCAGGAAACTGTGTAATAATTAAAGTTTGTGGTAAAGGAAAATCATTCATACTGAATTTCAAAAAAATAACCGTTGGAAATGACGGAAATTACAAACAAGAATGCTGTAAATAAACAGAAAATCCCCGCACAAAACCCAAATATTTCATAAAGATTTGCTGATTTTCAAAAAACGCGGCGACCAAAGACGACTTAGTTACAGTATGGAAATGATGAACGAAATATATTAAGCAAGACTTTCATGATTAAATATCAACGAAAGTGTCGATATTTGAATGGAATTATCGAGTTTTAAATGACAGTATTTGAAATTGGTTGACTTTCTTTAAATTATCAAAAAACACATGCGCACATACTGACCATTCATAGTGCTAGAAGTTACACGTGTTCAAAATTGGCGTATTTTGTGCACATAAAACGATCGAAATTAATAAAGGTCACATCAAATAAATTTTATTATAGAAAACACATGCTATATACGTAATGCACTTTAACATGGAATTGGCGTTTTCCTTTTATCAATGGTATAATTCACGTATCAAAGAACGCAAAGGGTGAATCGTATAACGATACTAAGAATTATCGAGTAACAAAATTATCTATAATATCAAGAATTTGCATAAAAAGGTTTCCATTCATGTATTCCCGATGCTAAAACGCTATTAGGTTTCAGTGAATTATCTAGAGAGAAACTTGCACGTAGTGATACGAGCTGTTTTTCAAAAACTAACACTGATTTAGACTTCTGGTTTTTGACAAGCTAATTTTCAATTAATAAAATTATCATTGAGTCCCGTAACACCATTCACTGTTAAAGAATGTCTTTATACTCTAGATAAGTACAAATTAAAGTAAAAGAAATTGGCGTACCATTTTGTCTAACCAATCCCCATTTTACACTGAGCATTGTAAGTTTACGCCATTGATTTTCGGAGTCAAAAAATTACTTTTTCGGTGTATTGATGTACCTTCTATGCCTCATATAGCGGCGAATTCATTGAGATTTCCGAATGATAATACGTATTGATAACATATATCTTGCTTTTTCGGCCATAGCTTTATGAATTAAACGCAAACTCAAATCGGAAGAATTCATTTAATCCATGGAAAGTCGAAAATAAGAATAATTTTAAAATATGTGACTATTTTCATTGTCGTTTATATCACTTTTAAATAGGGAGGGGAGAAAGACACGTGTAAACATATTAACTTTATATTTGCCAAAATTCAAAGATGAATTTAAGGAATTATTGAAATTCTTTCAAAAAAAATCCATGTACGTATTAAATTTTTCTATTTATAGTTATGTTTATTTGCTTGGCTGATCGAATGTTTTTGTTGATGCTCTATTTACCAACATATATCTTTTTTGTCGCTATGTTTGTTTTTCAAGTTTTCACATGATTGCTTAGTTGTCCAAAAAATTTATAAATGACTGCTGACTTTTGAATTTTTATCCGGTCTTCGTCAATTTAACTATCCATCCACTTTGTATGATGCATCCGTGAATATGCTCAGAAAGGGCCTATTCTATCATATTCACGGATTAAATTTTCTTAGTAAAGAAGTTTATATACATTTTATAAGATACAAACGTTTGATGACTTTAGATGTTATGCACCATACTGTAATAATTATTTAATAAAAACTTTTCGCTTTAACATGAGAATACACCAAATTCTGGATAATAGGGTTTCGCTGAATTAGATTAAGATCTTTCATAGATCAACGTTTTTTTTGATAGTTTGATAGAAGGATTTGCCATTTCAAAAAAAAAGATAGTAACTTCCAAGGGCACTGACATTTATTACCTAATAGAGGTGCCCACCCCCACCCCCACCCCAGGTAAGATATTATATAACCAATCAAAAATGCTTAATTATGTAACACCTAAGATCCAGCTATACCTCCCACCCCTTAAAATATTTGTCATTGCCCTAATAAAGATTCGCCAATTTTACTATTTCATCTAAAAATTTATTAATTAAGCTAATCAGACTTACCGTAAAGCGCTCTTTATAATATCCCCCCTTGTAAAAATTTGAACCACAATTTGGTTCAATTTTTTTTTAGTAAATTCAATTATTTTTTATGTAAATAATTAAATTAGATTTCACTATGCGATTTTTTAAGAAATTTAGTTATTGGTTTAACAGTCTTGAGGTTAAATTGAGGTTTAAATTTTATACAAAGGGGGATACTATACAGAGCGCTTTACGGTAGTTGCAATAAAAAGGTATCAATGTTATGTACTAATGATACAGTCGCACTTCCTAAAGTCACACTTTAAAGAATTTTATAGTGCAAGCTCCAAGAGTATAATTAAGAGAAGTATAACTGTATATAGAATAACTATTGTAATATAATTATACTTCTCTTAATGCATACGCCTGAAACTGACACTATAAAAAGAGTGTGGAAAGTAATATAAAGTTGCATTACTTAACTTTGATGTTAACCAGGTAAAAATAACACTTTCGACCAGTGGAATCTAAATCACCGTAGGCAAAGCAAACAATTAAAGAATATATTTATGTGTTCTCCAACAATATACAGTAAAAATCCTGCAAATATTGTTATATCAAGAATTTATTATAAAAAAATCGTTGAAGTTTTGATTGTATTACCAATAAAAAAATCGAAGATCTTGATGCATTTTTTATATGCTTTTTATTAATGGTATATACAGAGTTAATAATGTCCTAAGCTATTAAAAAAAATGCAGGCTCATTCAAATATTATTTTATTATTATTAAAAATTGTCATTATTTCCTGATGAGTTTGTTAGAGATCAGAGAGTAGTAGTTATAATTTAATGTCCTCTTCAAAAAATTCATCACGACTTCTTTCTAAACGACTTTTCTTTTTGGGTGGAACAGATAGTGTGGACGATGATGAAAGTGGTTCATTTTGTGTATTGTTGTTGACGTTTTTTGACGAATATTCTCCATCTTCAAGTTTTGACGACAGCATAACGTTTGATGATGTTAATGGTTGTCTTTGTGGTATAATCAATGATGATGACGACGAAATACCAGAATTATGATAAGTTAAAGCCTTTTGTGATGGTGATGAATTTTGTTGCTGATACGATGCTGCTTGTAAAAGTAATTGCTGTTGAAAAGCGGGAGATTGATGAATTGATACTTTGTGATTAATCGGAGATCGAAGAGCAGTTAACTCAAATTCGTGTTCTTTTCCTTGTTGAGGATTCAATTGCGATTGCACTTGACTATAAACTTGGAGAATGTTTGAAGGTAGTGATTGCTGCTGTTGTGCCTCTCCCAATTGCATCAATGATGTGGAATTGTCTTGCATTTGAGTTAATTCTTGGGAAAAGTCGAAAAAGTTCCAATTATCAAGCCCATCATAATTAGTATCTACTATAAAATATATTAAATAAAACTTGGTGTAGATAAAACAAAAATACTAGAAAGAATAAAACATCTATTCTTTACCAGTCTGTTCACTATGGTCAGCGACAATTGAAGATTCGAGCCATTTTATGAAATTACTATCAGAGTTTGATGTATCTACACCCATCACATTATTGTTTTTGTAATGGGTATTTGAAGACAGTGAAGTTGTTGATGACGAACAATCGAAATTAAAATCTTTTGAAGATAAGGGAGTAGAAGACGAAGGGGAAAACTCGAGATTATTGTAAATTGCTGTCGATGGTCTATTAAAAGAAACAAAAGAATCATTAAAGTTGCCATTTGTTTTAATACCACTATCACCAGCCGTCCCCGTAAAGAAATTTGTCATGGTTGCGTGGCTGGTAGTCATTAATTTATCGCTGTTATTACTATTTTTGCCATCGCCACAGTTGTTAATCTTCCAGTTAAAATCCAAAGAATTAATATCCAATTCTGCATTTCCATTAGTTTCTGAAATGATTCGACCCGCTGTTATTTCATCGCAATTTATGCTCATCGTTTCATTTACTCGATTATTATGCGAATTCCCTCCACTCAATTTCTGTAATGATTCTTTTTTCTTAACAGCAAGAACACCAGCAAGAATATAATGCAAATCAGAATTATCTTCATCTAATTTCGACAGCCAAAGCCTGCTTTTCATCATATCCTGTGGCCAATTGTGTACAATCCAATCTAATAACCCTTTTCGTGTCGCTTCTAATCCCAGCCATTTACACAAGTCCAAGACTGTTTGCCATCCGTCTCCTTTTTCATCCTCTTTGCACCACACTTTGTCATTGACCAATAAAAGATCGCAAGAAATTTTCAGTTCTTTAACTTGAAATTTGTGAGCCAAATAAGCAATCGCAAAGAGATCTTGTGATTTGTAATTATTATTGTCTTTTAGAGGATAGCCATAAATGAAGCGAAGAAATTCACTGAATTGGGTGGAAGTGTAGTAAAGCTCCAGTGTTTTGTTTATTCGATTCTTGGGGTTGCTGGTGGTGGTTGTTGCGAATGATACAACTTGTTTATTATTATTACCACTGATATTGAGAATGTGTGGATTGCCATAATCTTTCCAGTTTTTGAGTGAATCTTTTCTCGGAGTAAAGTTTTGAAATTGGTGGGCCCCAATTGGAGTTGCCAGTTTATCACGAAAATACCCCGAGGCCCATTGCAAGATACACCGATGCACGTAATAGAACTCGTTGTCTACCCGCAATGTCAAATCCGATGTTGCGGTATCGTTAAACCTTTCTTTAATTACTGTCATAAGATCCATTTTATTGTGGGATTGTGAATTCTTGTCTTTTTCAAATTTAAATATGGTTAGAATTCTAGAAGCTATTCAGAAAAAGCGAAAGGTTTCGTATTTATTTAACTGTTGATCGAAAAATGACGCGTTTTTTTTATGCGATTAATACTTTTATTTATTTACTTTTACCTCTTCGTTTTTGCGTTTGATTGATTGATGGGTAAGTTCTAAAAGATACATTTTTAAATGATAAATAGTCTTGTCAATTAATTTATCATTAATGTACGAGGTGTTTGCGCAATCTCCATAAAAATTCTTCATTGTAAAGAGCGAAAATATTAGCCTTACACGCGTTTCATGTCACGTGAAACACGATTTACAACAAAATTCATCTTACTAAAATAATTGTAATTTTCGATTGTTCAATTAAAAGGTTTTTCAATAAAGTTAATTGTATTACAAAATCTGGGGTTTCTTAGATATAAATGGCCCTCGTTAATTATATCGTGATATTAGCGATATACAAGAATCACTGTTCTATTGAAATTAATTTGATATTATCACGCTCAAAGGAATGAAATAAAATTCTATGCACAAGATACAAACCGACTTTTCATTTGCTTAAAAATTCCCCTATTCAGAAAACGTTAAATGTGGTGTGTCGCAAACGAAATTTTGTGACTATTTACTACATGATAGTTAAAATATTTAAACGATTTCCTATTGCTCAGTACTAATGCAAGAATAAATTACGCCTTGCATGAATCAAACTGACAGGAATGTTCCCGCCGAGATGATGCATGTGTGTTTGTGTATTATAAAAATTGATAATTATCAAGAATAGATAGTTTTAAATGCTTGCCATCTTATCTGGTTCCATAATACCTCGTCGCCAAGAAACAAACAAAGAACAAGAAAATGTACTCATAATTACAACCAATCGGTTAATTTATTTTTTTCCAGAGAAATTAGCGGAGAAACAATCGTGTGGCAAATTGCTCACATCAATAAACGAAAATGAAAGTCTATTTTCTGTGCCATGCAACGAAGAATACTTCTTAATTGGTTGGTTGTTAATTTGCCCATGCGTGCAGTCAGACATCATTTCATCTTTTATGAAAAATCATACATGTATTTGCATTATTCGACTGAAATCGCAGATTAAAACAATTTCATCATAAAAAATTGCTCAAACGCGATTCTTGTACACATTAACGGTTTCACAAGCGCACGCCCACGCCGATCAACCCCCTTTAATAGGACAAAGAACTGAAAATTTTTGCATGATTGTCTAACCAATTAAAAATGTAATTGTTAAAACGACTTAATCTTTAATCCACGTTTTTTTGTGCTTTCAATATGTATATGATCATTAACCACGTTTTATTGTTTGTGGATTTGAGACATTAAAAATTTCTGCATACATGTACAATGACATACATACACATGTTATATGTATCTTTTCTTAGTTAGATATGTGAATTGAAGGTTTATCACTGTATATCACTGCCTATAGTATCCCCTTCTTATAGGTAAAGTGCCCCATTCTCTACCAATGAAATCTTTGAAACTGTGAATAGAATCAATACTATTCAATGTCAAAATTAAATAATACCGGGGTCTATAGACAGTGTTGTACATTTTGAATGTCCAAGGTCTTTTTGAGACTGTCCGTCCCGTCCAAGAATGTCACAACTCCTATATAACTTAAAAACATCTATTGAAAATATACCGATATATGCAAAATGAGATTCTAAGCATTTTTAATTAATCACTCAAAATAGGTTTTTATAATAAAATTTTGTGCTATATGTATTTTTTTATGTCTCAAAACCGTCCCAACTTTGTCCAAGATGTCACGTGTACAACACTGCTATAGGCAATGATTTATGGTACTGAATGGTTAATTAGTAAAGTTAACGAAGTAGTCAGGGCTATTCCAATAAAATTCTGTAACTGATTCTAGATCAAATTTCGGTTTATAGAAATGTATTATTTAGTACTTTAATTAATAAACTCAGTTTATGCGGCCTTCAACTGAAAACTATGATAATCTAAAAAAACAGAATATTCCAAATATACGTCTTCTTTCTTTTTTGTAAAGACTTGACAAGATAAATTTAATTTTTTCTAGTAAATTCTTTATTTCAATATTTTTAACCGAAATATCAAAGAAATTAATTATGGTGCTAGACACATACAAAGTTTTTGTCAATTTTAAAGAATAGGACTGAATAATATCGAAAGAATCTTTCTAGAATTAAATAAATAAGATAATAGTTTTTTCAAAAAAATGCTTTTTATTGAGTTCTATTCTTTTACAACATTTTATAGTTATAATTCATTTAATTCTTAACCTGATAAAGGCCGTGACAGATACCGTATTTTTCGGCAATTAGTACCCCCTTGATAAAATATTCCCTTGATAAAGTACCCCGGTACTAATCTCGGTTACAAGTTGAGTAGGATGTAAAGTATCCCCCCCCTTATAATTCCTGAAATTAGCATTATTCAGGCCAAAACTCGTGTAATTCGGGCTAAAATTACGGATTCCATGTTAAGTATCCCCCGTATAATATACCTCTTCACAAAGTACCCTGTGGGTACTAATCAATTTTTGAGCCCCTAGAATGTAAGAGACCCGGGGTACTAATTGCCGAAAAATACTGAGTTACGTAATATCCTTAGGGAGGGGAGAAGGACACATGCTTCAAATATCTTACCTTTTTTGGAGTGCTCATATTATACCTATATTACGTAATATATGTCACGGCCATAATATACGTAGTGCATCAATGACGGTATAATACTTGGGTGCCGTCTAACATCCCGAGGATCACAATCCGACATCCCATCTGCCCGACAAACGAAATCCCGAAAATCCAACATCCCGAAACACCAATATCCCGAAAATCCAACATCCCGAAAAGCTACTATCCCGAAAACTTAACATCCCGAAAAGCCAACATCCCGAACATCCAACATCCCAAAAAGATAACATCCCGAAAAGCCTACATTCCGAATGCTCAACGTCCCGAACACTAACATCCCGATGGTTCAAAATCCCGAAATGTTAAAAAATGACCATTCAAAATTCCAACACATTAAAGCATGAAATTGCATATACTATTTATGTTGCACTATATTGATTGTCATAAAGTTTTGCAAATAGGAAAAAAAATGGCCTCCAATCTGGAAATACTATATTTTAACACTAATTTGATTTTAAGATTGGGATTAGGGTTAGGGTTAGAGAGGAGAACAAGTTTATATATATAATTATCTGCCCGACATTTTTTATTAGTGAACCAAGCCTAAATTCGTATTTTCACAATTTTCATTTTCTTGTTTTGCCAGCTAATTGTTTGTGCATTCCTATGGGTTGGCGATCAAGAATGCACCATTTTTTCTTGATATAAGGGTATCAGATTACCGATTATTAACTATTGCTATTTACATATTGTAAAAAATAATGAAATAATGATCGTAAACACTGATGGAACGTGGGAGTAACGATAATTTTAAAGGCACGATTAGAACACATTGGCATATACGTAACGTTAACACAAAAGTCGATCAGTGAGTGACCAATAAATTTTAAATGTCGTGGTTTTGAATCAGGATTTTGAAGTGTCAGGATTTTGAATTTTCGGGATTTTGAACTGTCGGGATGTTAGTGTTCGGGATATTGAACATTCGGGATGTTGGACTTTCGGGATTTTGTTTGACGGGCATATAGATGTCGTACCGGATCCATAACACTTTATTAGAGAATATCTGCAACAGAAAATTTCAGCGCCTTTGACGCTTTATGTGACTATATTGGTTGCACCATAGCTCAAGACAAAATGTATTATTTTGATTGGCAATTGAATTGCAAATGCTTTCATAAATCAAAAAAGTTGATACCTAGGGACAGTGTTGTCCTGCAGTTTTTGGCGGAAACGAGACATGTCCGAAAGTCCACGTCCGTATCTGTGTCCGCAGGACATTGACAAGTCAATCTCAACATAGGCTGGCACTAAAGTCACTTGGCCGAAATTAACAAGTAATGTGCAAGCATTAATATTAATACTTGTAACGCGGACATCACATAAAAAATGCCAGACATGGACGCGGACTGTCCTGTCTGTGTCATGTCACTGTCCCATAACAACACTTTCTAGAGGCTGTGTTAGTCATGGACTAACCGCTCCAAATCAAAGGACGGACTGGACCTTGTTCGGACTAATTGGTCCGATTTAAACTTTATAAAAGAATCTAACAAAAAATACTATTTTCGTAAAAACCGAACCCTAACTTAACACTTACGAAGTTTAACTTAATTCTCGTTTCGTTGATTAACAAGATTAGGGTAGGGACGTTTATCATCTGATTTTTTAGGGAGGAGTCTAACTGATCAAAAGTCAGGTGTGACGTCATGTTTATTAACCAAGATACTGTGTCTATCAGGTGGGGATAACTCTTATATGAAGGAGAAATCACCTCAAAAATAACTGATTTATGTTACAAGATACAAAATTTTGTGCGAGTTCATTCACAAAAACTCTAATTATTTATATATTTGTTGTGCCTAAGATCAATGCTTGCGTCAGATCGCGCTTGGCCCAAATTAGGATAGGAGTTTTACTAGAGTTAGAGTTAGGGTTAAGGTTAATGATGGTAAATATATTAATGTTGGCCAAAAATAATCACGTGAAGCGCGATCTGACGCAAGCGTCGATCTCTGGCACAACATATATAATAGGTCCGGAGTTAGAAGACCAACATATATCATGACTCGACTATTGGAAAATTTATTGAATGAATTATCATTGTATTCAGATGAAAATAAAGAAATACGCCCACTTGGCAAAGAGCGAATTCAGCACTTTTTGCAGATCAGTAGAAGTTAGAAAAATGTTGGCGACAGGCATTCATAATTAGAGGCCAATTGAAAATCACGTGACAAAATTAATATTTACTTTTTTAGGGAGTCCTAGTAGATTTGATAACCCAAAATTTGACTTTTTCAAACTCTACGCGAAATGGCTAAATCCCTGCGAAGTTAACAATTTACATTACTATTTATTTCCGAGACTAACCTATCGAATTATAGCAAATCTTTTTGAACGTATCACTTTTCAATGCCGAATACAGCTAGTAAATAATTAACATTTTATATGGCTCACATTCATATATTTGTTACTGAACTTTTTATGTGTTGATGATATATTCTTGACATAGCCACACAAAAATTTTCGATATCGCAATAATGGAAATGCCACAAATTTTAGAATCGCCAAATTTTTCTCCATTATAAATAAAGGCTAATTAATTGTCGTCGAGCCAAATCAGCCTCAAGAACGAATGCAGCCCGTTCGCGGATTGAATGTTTTCAATCTACCCATGGGAAAATTTGGAGGAAATACGAAAAATATTGACATCACAACATGCAATTTTTAAATTTAGGCTTACGCAAATAAACAAAATTAATTTGATGGTGGTTGGGCTATGTAATTGTTGCTATAACGAGAAATGCGCAATTGATAAATACAAATTTTTTTCGAATAACAAGTTTTTTCCTGTAAAAGAAATTAAAGTTTTCGGGAAATGGAATTCCTCTCTTAAACTTGAATTTTATATTTTGATTATCGAAAGCACGTCCCGTAATATATGAGTAAATGTTATGCAAATTAAAAATGAAAGCCACGTAAAATAAAAAATTGAAAATAATAAATGCGTAATTTGATCGGACGTCTGTTTATTGCTTATGTCAGAACAAACATCTGTGAATTTCAACTTTATTTCGTTACCTACTATAATAGGAAAGTTTTTTATTTGAGAAGCGCAAAAATTTAATTTTTTTATGTCGTGATCTTTATTTGTTGATTTTTGAGATAAGTCTTCGGCTTTTAATATAAATAATCGGAATGCTGACATAGCCTCAATATTGTTACTCTCTTTCAAATATATCGAATGTAAAGTATCAAACAATAAGCACGAATAATAGAATACAAAGCAAAATCGGAGAAAATGTGATTTACAATTTTCATAGATATGTTAAGCCTTTAAAGGTAGTAAATTCCTGTGATATTGTTTTTGTTATTATTTTTGCTAATGCTGTTACTCTTTTTGCATTAAAAGCAGTAAATTACTCATGATATTGTTTTTTTGCTAAATGTTATTAGGACGCCATAAATAAAACAAATAACAATAGCACTTTGCAAAAAAAAACTGGATTTTCTTCAGATTCAAATTTAGAAGATAAATAGCTTTATTAATAAATGATTAAGTATAAAAAGCTAATTTTCTCGCAACACGTGTATTTTAAGTAAGCAGTACAATATTCTCCAAATTATTTTTTAGAATTAAAATAACCTGATTCTTTCCAAAAAGTCAAGCCACCGATAACAATAACAAAATAACATGTAGTGACCTGTGATTAAAATCAAAAAATATCTTTTATCACTGTCACAATAAAATACTTTGAAGTTAAATATAATAAAGCCCTCGATTCTTTCTCTGGCTTAGGGTTGCCTAGCAAAACCCTTTTCTGAATCTAGCAAGTTAAAATTAGCTTAGATTGGATACGTTTATCAAAGCTTCCAAGATTTACGCCAGGATTCATTGTTCGAGAAAATCCTTTTAGCAAGGTTTGACTTCGAACTAATAAGATTAATAATGTTAAATAGAATTAATGGTTCTCTATTTTTGGCTCCAAAAATGGAACCAATGCTAAAATACCTTCATTTAATGCATACATATTTAGAATTCTAACTATATAAGTAGTAAATTGTAAGATATAAAATGCAAATCGCTGAATTTTATGAAATTATTATAAAAAAATCCATAATATTATCTTTAGACACAAATGTTATTTCATACAATATAAATTAACATGTTTTCACCTTCTTTGAGTTTGCTTTCAGAAAATCTATAATTGAATTAATTCGTTTTCCTTGTCTACTAATTCTCAGCTCGCGCAGATATGTTAAATCTTTTTTTACTGAGAATCGAAATCAACAATTCTTAAAATCAAAATTTTAACATTATAAATCGTTATTCTTTGAATTTTATTGTTGATCTAAGCCAACTTTTTAATAACGGGAATAATTATAATTTGTAAATATTTATATATAGTATTTACGTGCATTAAAAAAATTTTGTTTTATACAACCTAAATTTCTTAGGTGTAAATTCTTTTGATGGAATACTCATTGTGTTGCATAATTCTATAAGTCGTTAATAGCTGCTTCTCTTTTTCAATACAAATTACATAATAACGCTTGATAAACATATTATATAAACTTTATTTAAAATATATCTTAATGTCATATTAGATAACTAAAAAACATTTATATTTTCCGTAGTATTTGTTACTTTTAAACGTATACCCGATTTAGTTACAGGCTTGCTTTAGGATAATAAAAAACATGCATTATTGCGAAGTATTGTTTCTTTTAAGCATACCCAATTTAGTTACGGGCTTGCTTTAAAATAATAGAAACAAACTCAATTACAAATGGTTAGCTTGTTAATTGTAAAGAAAGTAGTAAAATACCACTTACCAAAAAAATTCTTAAAATCTAATCAATTATGCTAATTATCACGTAACCATTATCACATAGTCAAGAAAGTCTTTTTGACACGCGACAATAAAATAAAACAAACGTAACAAATGAACTAATATGGTAGCTACAATTAATTATTATTGTGAGATCTTTACGTATAAAGAAAAATAATGCATTTTAAACTGTTGCTCAATTACTTTAATAATAAATATTATTAACAATGTTTTGCAAATTTACTTTAAATTTATATTATATTGGCATGCTGCAACAAAACAATATAACGCCACACAAAAATTTAGAATTGAAATTTGCTAAACGCCACTGTAGTATCACCGATGCGACAAACATGACGAACATAACATTAAACGGCTTTGGGGTAATCGGTACAAAAATACAAATCACATTTGTCTTATTATTTTTTCGCTTTCGCACTGCTTATTAGGCTTTGCTTGATTTAACTCGATCTGTTGAATTTGATTTCCTAATTTTTGAGCTTTTTGGCTAACTCTTGAATATCCTTTTTCTGTTTTATTAGTTCAAATTTTTCTTTTCTAGTTTTTTTTAGCTTGTGACAGCATTCTTCAAGTCATGACTTGATTTAATAACTGTCGGAACCTGATTCTCACTCAATATTTGTAAATGATATAACCGTCTCCTTGATATATTGACATTAATCACTGGATAAATGTTAAATTTAGAAATAATAAAATGAGATTTGAATTGGATAAAATTATACTTCTAAGAAGAATTATATCTTATAGAAAATTTGTATGCAAAAAGTTTATTTAATATATATTAGAAATACAGTATATAAAAAAATTAATTGTATTATATTGTTATCATTATAATATAAAAAGTATTAATTAGAGAAATTATAAATACTATCTGATATAATTATAATTTAATTATTCATGGTACATCCACTTTTATTTTATTTTAATTTTATATTTTATTTTATATTTTATACTTTACTTTTTACTTATTTTTTTCTTTTTTTTATATTTATTTTTCTATTTAATTTGCTATTTAATTTTTTATCTTTTTTTTATTTTATTTTTTATATTTATATTTATATTTATAATATAAAATAATAATTTGTATAGTCTAAAAATATATTATCAGTAAAAATAATATTTTTTTTAATTTTAAAGTATCTAAAGTATGATTTTGAAATTTAGTTTGAGTTTAACAAGTTCAGTTTGAGTTTGATTTGCTTTAAATTTTAAACACACCAAAAATCTGATTTGAGTTCAGTTTGAATTTTAGATATTTTTTGAATATATCAAAAAATTTGGTTTGAGTTTAGTTTAAACTTCAATTTTTTTAAACACATCAAAAATTTGATTTAATTCAATTTGAATTCAAGTTTAGTTCAAGTTTAAATCTAATTTATATTAATATAGTAATCTTTATTTTGATTGGATAATCAAGTAAAATATTATATATACATATAATCTTTTATATTAAAATAATTTATTAATAAAATTTAAACAAATTATAAAAAATTTTAAAGTATTTATTTTATTTAATTTTATTTTATATATTATTAAATTAATTTGAAAAATAGTGAAATAATTTAGAAACTAGCTAAAAAGTATTTATTTTATTTTGTTATAATAAGTATTTTTATTATTAAAAAAATACAAAACAAAATATCTATACAAAAAACTTGTTATAAAAATTCAGCTTTTTTCAATAAGAAAAAAAAATTAACAATATAATTTAAAGAATTAAAATAATATTATAAGAAATTATAAATAATATAATATATTTATTATATTTAAACAAGTAAAAATACTAATTTTAAATTAATTTGAACTTGATTAACAAGATTTTGTACTAAAAATATTATAATAAATTAATAATAAATACAAAAAAATCTAAAATTAATATATATATTTATATCCAAAGTATCAGTTTTATATTTTTATAATTTAATATAATACTAAAATAAAAAATTCTAAAATAATTAAATTCTTTAAACTATTATAAGAAGCAATAATATATTATCATTATTTATATAAAACTAATAATAATTCAAAATATATTAATTTATTAAATTATTCATTATTATCAAAAAGAATTTTGAAAGAAAATATTAAAAACTTTTAAGATAGATAATATATATTACAAAGTAATATTATTTATTTTTAATTTAAAATTTAGAAATTAAAATTTATATATTATAAAATATGTATAAAACTTAATAAAATCAAGCTAAATAAATAAATTTAATATAATTATTTTCAATTGCTTTTTTAGAAAAAATTCTAAATTATTTTTTAAAGTTAATTTTTTTTATATAAAATTTATAATATTAAAAAAAGATAAATTATTATAAAAAATTTTTTTAATTAATTAATAATTAAAATTAATTTACAAGCAAAAATTATATAACTAATAAGAAAAATAAAAAATATTAATTTTATTTTGCTATTTTTTAGCAAATCTTAATAATAAATTTATTAACAAAATAAAAATTGAACTTTTATTAAATATATCTGAAATATTTTTATTAATAATAAAAATTTTAATTAGTATAAATTTAATAATAAGATATAAAACTAAAAAGTTTGATATATAGAAATAT